CGCCTGGCGCCCGGCTTCGTCTGCGACGTTCGCCTCGCGGGAACCCCAGCTTCGGGCAGGGACGCGCCGCGCACCTTGCTATGCACTCGGGCAGCTGTGCTACCGCAGTCTCCGTGTTTTGGATGCTCCGCAAGGAGGAGTTTCGTTTCTGTGTGCGATCGTTCAGTGATCGGGACCTTCCCTCTCCTCACCTCCTCCCTCCGCCCTCCGGCACCCCTGGTTCGAGACCCTCGGCCTCCCTCTCTCTTCGGAGCCCCCTGTCCTCCCTGCCTCCGCAGCCCCAGTGTGGAAGGGACGTTTGACAGCACCTAACGGGCAGGTAGCGTTCCTTCCCGATCTCTTAAGAGAGGCACAGCAGACTTTGCAACCCGAATCTCTTTCCTTTGCAGACACCGCTAGAAACGCAAATCGTGCTCAGCAATCCTTTTAAGTACTTTAACCTCCAACCTCCTCCCACTTCTTGGTTTTTTAACTTCTCCTTTGAGAGAGGTGATGCGCAGCAAGCACCTCCGAGCTTCCAGGAAATCTCTCTCCCTCTCTCCCTCTCTCGCTCTGTGAATCCCTTCCCTTTATCTCACCCCGCCGCCTCCGTGCAGAGACTGCCTCTGCCCGCACCCACCCACCTCCAAAGGTTTTTGAACCTCTCTGACGCTTCTGCGATTAAGCCGATCCCAACATTCTCGTTAGGGGCATCTCGCTCCTCGCTTACGAAGACTCCATTAAAACAGATCAATCTGACCAGACGTTGGGCATCAGAAAATCGGCTTCTAGACAGAGCAGCTAAATTCTTAAAAGAAATGGAGTGCCCGGTAGATAAGCCGCCAAGGGATGCTGCAGAAACGGAGGCAGACAAGCCTTCCGGTAGAGGCAGCTCAGCTGCAAGCTTAGTGCAGATCCAGCTTCAGCTCCTCGGTACCGCGCCGGAACGTGCCGTTTCCCACCGCGAGGCTGGCGCGGCAACTAATCAGGCTTAGGGAAATAAGTCATGCTTGAAACCAAAAGCAAAGTCCTTAAAAGTGTGTGTGCAGTAATTATGATAATGAAACGGGACCTTTTAGGATTTCAGGGCTTGGCGAGAGAAGTCGAATTTTGCAGAACCTCTTAGCAGAGAAAAATTGTTATTGGATTGTCTGCTAAGTAAATTTTTGGCATGCTTTCTAACAACGTGTACTCTTCCTAAGACATTTTGCCCAAAGTAACTTAAGACTCCAAAGGAGTTAATTACTGGTTTGTGACTGGTTAACAAATACAGTCGCTTTCACAGAGGTCTGGTAAATAATTAAACAGTTTGAAGCTGAGCCTTTCCAATGGGAACGCCGTGAATTTGTTCCACTTACTGTGTACTTCGTGTTGCAGTGCCACCCAGAAACGAATCCTGAAACTGGCAGGCACCACCAAGTGGCGGAAGAACATCACTCACTGAGCAGAGCATTGTACCCTTGAATATGTAAATAAAATACATACATTGTTCAGTCTCGTTGTTAGGGACCCTGGAATCGCAGGGGCATTAAATTTTATTGCAGTGAAGATTGGATGGATGCTTCAACTCTTCCCCTCCAGGGTCAAATCCGTTTACTTATTAGAATTAAATTATGAACCGGGACCACGAGTAGTACTCTGTTTCATATATTATATGATTATTAGTACCATGATCTAGTCATAACACACATTTGCAACATTTTAAAACTGTATTTAGCATTGGTTTTCCCTCTGGGTGAGCTAGAACACGTTGTTACATATGCGTTCTAGAATTAGTACAGAAGGGGAAGGCCAAGCTGCAGTATTTTAAAGTAGAAGTAGCACAAATATATACATAAATAAGCGAGTGTGTGTATGTATTTATAGATGTATATATGCATATATGTCTATAAATGTATGTGCAGGATGAATAAATGCATATATACACGTGTATAAATGAGTATATACACAGCATGTATAGATGTATGCATATATTTTGCAGAAAACTTTTCAAAAGATTATCGGATGGGGTTGGATGTGGCTCAGTGATAAACCGCTTGCTGCATTCGAGGAGGCCCTAGGTTTAATCCCCAGCACTGAAAACAACAACAGCAACAAAGCCATTTCTTTAAATGTGGAAAGGAATCATTCAGATGGGTGAGATTACTTCAAATTTAATGGATGTTAAGTGGATGAACAACACCTTGAGATAGGTAAGTGTTTTTTTTTTTTGTTTGTTTGTTTTGCTTTGTTTTGTTTTTGTACCAGGGATCGAACTCGGGACCTTGCACTTGTGAGGTAGGTAGTGGAACCACAGAGCCAAATCCCTGGCCCTTGATGACTTAAGATAAATAAACCAAGAAAAACAAGATGCACTGGCAATCAGAACCCTAGTTCCTTCCCGCCCTCCAATAGTTTCCGATGGCTTCAGTAACAGTATGAGGTACGATATGCCTCTTGGGGCCTCAGTCATTGTGTTGTGAAGGAAGAGACATTCTTTTCTTTTTTTTTTTTTTAACCAGGGATTGAACTCAGGATCTTGTGCTTTCGAGGCAGGCAACAGAACCACTGAGCTAAATCCCTGGCCCTTGAGACATTATTTTTCTTTAAGCCCTGTAGTATCCCATCAGACAAAGGGTATCATGATCTCCATTTTATAAGGAAGAAATATGGCTCTCAGATTATCAAGCAACTCAGGTGTCAGCAAAATTCAGTGTGATTTCAGACCACAAGACATAACACCTTCATTTCCGGTCGTCTCCGTTCCTCTTGGAGAAAGGAAGCCACGAGAGAGCATAGGAGAAGGCTCTTTTGCCTGTTCTTTGGAGTATCAATAAAACCCAGTCTCACTAAAACTCAAATATGGGTAATGACCAGTAGTTTCCATTTGATCATATGATTACTTGTAAAACTTAAAAATGAAATGGTCCTAACTAGCAAGAATTCTGATTCAGAAAGTCTGGAGTTGGGCCCTGAGATGTATATTGTGATATTCATCCTACTTTGGGAACTGAAGTATCACCTGGCACCTAAATGACAAGTGAAAGGAAAGAGTGCAGGGACCTTTGATGAGTTTTTACAGGGCTTTGGTAAGAGAGGTTTCTAGGACTGGGTAAAGGTTTTAAACTCAATGTGCAAATGAGCCATTATTATATGTCTACCTCTATCAAATCCATATTTACCATCTAATATATCTGGCTTGGTACATTTGTAACTATAGTGTTCTAATTTGTAAAAACATGGATAGCAATACACCTCTGAGGATTGTTCTAAAGATTAAAGGAGAAACAACGTGATTACTGATAATGACTTTGGTGGGAATTCCCACATAAAAGGTGAATGAATACACATATACTTAAAAGTATGTACCTATAATATTTACATGCATAGCAAGTAATGAAGGGTC